AAAAATCCTTGCCAAGAAATTAATTTTTATTTAAAATTTTTTTATTCTAATAATAGACAATAAAAATATTAGAATAAATATCATTCTAATTATAGTTCAATTGAAATTCAAATATAGGTTCATTCAGATAAGGTTTTTCCATCATTTGGCCAAGGTTTTTCCAGGTTGAGTTTATCCGGATAAGCTATTTAAATCTGCATGATTTTGAATCATTTTTCATTATTCAAGATGCCCAGATTAGGAATCACAAGAATACTCACTGCATATGAATTATGCAGGCTTAAAAAGATCAGATGTTCTCTCAAGAGACCTTGTTATCAATGCATTCATCGAAACAAGGAATGCAAATCAAGAACCAATAAGAAGAGAGGCCCTCAGCCTAGATCTTTTAATATAACAGTTTCAAGTATATTGAATTAGTCATCATTTAATAATTATATCAATTTCATATGAATTTTATTTATTTTAGTTAATCATCATTTATATTATATATTTTTATTCATATTTTAGATTTTTTTGATACATATTATTTATATATATATAATCATTATATATTTATATTATTTATATATTCATGTGATCATCATCAGTTAGTTAATCATTGTTTATACACATGTGATCATTATTCTATTTTTAGTTTATTTAAATAAACAAATGATCTACAATCAAATCATTCTTTGTTTATATTTCTACATATCTTGTTTATAATCATTGTTTTTGTCGAGAAACAGTAGAATTTTGGTAAGTCTTAGTCTCTTGCCGTCTAGAGACTATCAGGAGTTAAGCCATGATATCTTCAAAGAGCTACAGTTACAATTAATGTGCATTGAATTGTTTTTGGTAGTATAACTTGTGTTGAAAACAAAACTAATTTTTATAGCCAAGAAGCTAGCTAGTGTCTTTGTATACATGATTACAAGTTATACTTGTATATTGTATCTAACAGAAGTGGTTTGGTTACTGTTTCTAATATTAACTGACTGTACCTCAAGCTCTGCACAGAAAACACCCTAATAGGCCAAGTTTTAGTGATGACTCACTGTGGCTATACGCTTTTACTTGATAAGCTAACTATTTTTATTTTTATTTTTAGTATATATTTAACTATAATTTAATTAAAATTGTATTGTAAACTTAAAGTAGCAATAACAATAAATTTGGATTTGGTTTTTATTAGTAAGTATTTTTATTAGTAGTTTATTTTATCAATTATATATACGTATTTACGTATTTAGTTTATATATAGATAACAAACAATTTGAAGAATTGTTATTAAGAGAGATTAAGCATTTTAAAGATGATAATAAAAAAACTAACGTTACAATAAACTTTGTGAAAAATAGATAAGCTGCAAGATAAATATGATATATGATATGAAGTTTTTCAAAATAGAAATGATAAAATGATTTTGAATATGCTTTTTTGTTTGTTTATCTTTTTTTATTTTTTATTTATACTATGAAAATTTTTATAGGGCAGCTTGTTAATATATTTTTAAAAAATTTTGATTATTATCATAATTGTTATTTATTAGTATAATAAAGTTTATTTAAATAAGTTTAGTATAAATAAAATTAAAATAGTATAAATAAAGTATAAATTCATATTTATTTAGTGTAACTTGAGTTTGTTTATTTAAATTGTTATCATATAATCATGTTAGCTTTAGACTTGTTTCCAAATTTTATAAGGTAAAAAAGTTTAAATTTTAATTTATATGTATTTTTATTAAACTATGCATATTACTTAATAGTATGGTGACCATTATGTTGAATATTACTTTAAACAGGAGAAGAAAAGTAATTTATGATTCAGATATGTAGGATTTTGCTACTCTTTCTTTTAAGATTAGAGTTGAAACAACTAATAAAGAAACAAGCACCAAGTTATCTTTTTTGGATAAGAATGATGAACTGATCAAAAAACCTGAAGGTGTTTTTGCCAAGGACATAACTAAAAAAAAAGGAAAGATTAAAGAACTATTCTGTGGGCTTGATTTTTATCTTCTTAATCACTCTAATAAATATGTGTTCTACTATGATGAAATGAATACTCAAAAAACAAAAGATAATAAGATTTATTTTATTAATTGTAGTCTTAAAAAAAGCCACCAAATTTTCAACATTCATCCTGTTAGTGAGCATTAAAGAATTAGTGAGAAGGTGTTGCTTGAATATGTTTGCATGATAAGCTATGGTGATGAGAGTAATTCTGATATAAAGAATGAATAATCCTATTTTAAGATTAAAAAATTTATTATAAATAAAGTTTAAATTTATATTGTTATTTTAAATAAAATGATGAAATTGATTCTACTTTTCTTGTTGTTTATTTTTGTAATTATTGATGCCACTAAGATTTTTGATGTAATAGTAAATTCTCATTTGGATAAATTGTATACGTGGAATTTTAGGTCTGGTAAGTATGTGCCTATCTTAAACAAGAATGGCCAAGTTACTAAACGTTATCCAGGCAGAATCTATCTTCAGAAATTTTATAGTACTACTACACCTCATTATATAAATATGCATAAGCCAAAAAATGGTAATATCAAGTTTTCAAGAAGTTCATCTAAAAAAAAAACAAAGAAGACTCAAGGTATGTGAAGAAGTACTCATCGATCTGTGGTTAGATTTTCTAGTTAATTTGTATAGTAATTGTATGAATATATATTTTAATTATATTTTCATGCATGTATAAAATAAATTTAAATGTATATCTATTAATTTTGTTATAGAAATTCCTAAAGGCTGGATTAATAGTTATAATTTTTATCTTGCTAGTGAAAATTTTTTTTATTATATAATCAGAATCGATGTATTTTATTTTTTTGAAATAATAAATAAATTATAAGATCATGGGTCTTTTAATTACTTATTATAAAGGGTGTGGTGACTTAGTAAAGTGGTGGAGTTGTCACATTCTCAGATAGCAGGTCTAGAATTCAAATCTCACAGACAACAATTTTGAAAAAACTAGATCTGTATTAGTTAATGTTAAGATTATCAGTTGGATCCAGATATCTATAAACATGGTCACACTATCTCAAATGGGAGCTTTGACACAATAAATCCAAGAAACCAGAATTACTAAAAACCCGTTTGGCAAATCCCAAGTGTGGAGTAGCAGTGATCTTTGATAGTGCTACAGGAAGGCCAAATTTGGAACCAAGGACTAAGACCAGAGAACTAAACGACCAGATCCTTAAGTGGGAAAATATACTAGCTAAATTGCCAGAACACCAACTAGAAGAAAAAGACTTGTACTCCAGAAGCATGTACCAAGGAGAGGGTGACTATAAGGCACCTAAAGCCTGGGTAGACCAACCCTTCTGGGTTGCCGGCTGGAAGTAAGAGAGAGACCGGTAAGGAATTTAGGAAA